GCACAACCAACGTGGATCAACACAACCAACGTGGATCAACTTCTTGGCGCCAGTCTCCGAAGTCTTTTTTTTTTTTTAAAATCAATTTTTTATTTGCAGAACATGAGTCCGGCGCGAAAGTCTCGTCCGACAGAAAGGGTGAATCGTCCGACAGAAAGGGTGAAGAGTCTCAACCTTTTGAATCTCCTCAAAGACAATAGAAAGGGCGTCAAAAACGAAACGATCGAAAAGATGCATGACTTGATCCATGAAGATAAAAAAGAAGCCATGAAGATGACAACTTTTGGCAGGAAAGCCGCACAGGCCAAGAGGGACTTGGCCGACATAAGCTCGGAGAACGAAACACACGTTTCCCCCGGAAATATTGTACACAGCCCGTCACGAGAAATGCCGACGATGAATACGCCCTACAGAGACATCGCGGCAGATGAAATCAAGCTGTCCAAGGGCGGGACAGTGCAGGACAGTCTAAAATATACTGCAGACCACGAACAGGCGTCCAAGATGAGTAAAGACGATCAGGAACTTCTAAAGGGTAGCGCCGGTAAAAAAGACGAGGTCATGTCAAGTACATTTGATGGCGGCAAGACAAAGATCACAACTGCGCAAGACAGGAAATCGATTCCTCTAGAGGATTACGATGGTAGGTCAAAGGTTATTTCAGGATATGAAGACAAGTCAAAGATAAGTTTTGGATATGATAAAAGGCCAAGGATAAGTGCGGGATTAGAGGAGAGGGCAAAGTTAATGACAGGATATGATGATAAAACGATAAGCTCAGGATATGATGACTCAAAGATCAGTGCAGGGTACGATGACAAGTCAAAGATAAGTTCAGGATATGATGACTCAAAGATCAGTGCAGGGTACGATGACAAGTCAAAGATAAGTTCAGGATATGATGACAAGTCAAAGATAAGTGCAGGTGAAAACGACAGGAAGAAGATAAGTGCCTTACATGATAAAAAGGGGATACATGCAGGATATGATAATAAGTCAAAGATTAATGAAAAATATGAGGAAAAATCAAAGATAAGTGCGGAATTAGAGGAGAGGTCCATTATAATGACAGGCTATGATGAGAAATCCAAGAGAAGTGAAGTATACGCTGAAAAATCAAATACTGCATCACGTCTTGAGGATAAGTCAAGGATTAGTGCAGGACATGAAGATAAGTCAAGGATTAGTTCAGTTGAAGATAAGTCAAGGATTGGTGCAGGTCATGAAGACAAGTCAAGGATTAGTGCAGGACATGAGGATAAGTCAAGGATTACTGCAGGACATGAGGATAAGTCAAGAATTAGCTCAGGACATGCGGATAAGTCAAGGATTAGTGCAGGACATGAAGATATGTCAAAGATAAGTGTGGGTTTAGAGGAAAGAGCCAAGTTATTGTCAGGATATGATGACAAATCAAAGAAGACATGGGGTCTTGAGGATAAGTCAGGGATTAGTCTAAGCCAGGAAGATAAGTCAATGATTAGTTCAGTTGGAGATAAGCCAGAGATTAGTGCAGGATTTGATGACAAGTCAAAAATAAGTACTCCATATAATACTTCAATGTTAAGTGCAGGTGAAAAAGATAAGTCAAGGATTGGTCCAGGACATGAGGATAAGTCAAGGGTAAATGAAGGTCAGGAGGAAAATTCAATTATTAGTGCAAAACATGAGGATACGTCAAAGATAAGTGTGGGTTTAGAGGAAAGAGCCAAGTTATTGTCAGGATATGAGGACAAATCAAAGAAGATACGGGGTCTTGAGGATAAGTCAAGGATTAGTTCAGGACATGAAGATAAGTCAATAATTAGTTCAGTTGGAGATAAGCCAGGGATTGGCGCAGGACATGAGGATAAGTCAAGGATTAGTTCAGGACATGAAGATAAGTCAAGGATTAGTTCAGTTGGAGATAAGCCAGGGATTGACGCAGGACATGAGAATAAGTCAAGGATTAGTTCAGTTGGAGATAAGCCGGGGATTAGTGCAGGACACGAGGATAAGTCAAGGATTAGTGCAGGACATGAGGATAAGTCAAGGAGTACCACAGGTCATGAGGATAAGTCAAGAATTAGCTCAGGAAAAGAGGATAAGTCAAGGATTAGTTCAGTTGGAGATAAGTCAAGGATTGGTGCAGGACATGAGGATAAGTCAAAGATAAGTGTGGGTTTAGAGGAAAGAGCCAAGTTCATGACAGGATATGATGATAAATCTAAGACGTCGTCGGGTCTTGAGGATAAGTCAAAGGTTAGTGTAGGTCATGAGGAAAAGTCAAATATGTGGGATGATCAAAAAGATAAATCACTGATTAGTGCAGGATATGGCGACAAAGCAAAGATACGGGAAAGAGGACACGATGAAATTTCAAAGATAAGTGCGAGTTTAGAGGAAAGGGTCAAGATAAGGACAGGATATGATGACAAATCAAAGACTTCATCGGTTCTTGAGGATAAGTCAAGGATAAGTGCAATTCATGTGGATACGTCAATGATACGTTTAGGTAAGGAAGATAAGTCTGGCATTAGTTCAGGTCAGGCTAAGTCAAAGATGATTGCAGGATATGATGATAAGTCAAAGATAAGTGCCGAATATTATAAGTCAAAGATCATTTCAGGTCAGGAAGATAATTCCAGGATTAGTTCAGGGCATGAAGATAGGTCAAGGATTAGTGAAGGTCAACAAGATAAAAAAATAATTGGTGCAGCTAATGAGGATAAGATGGGGACTCGTGAAATTAAACAAGGTTTACCAAATAGTAGTGCAGGTGAAGAAGATAAGTCAAGGATTAGTGAAGTTCATGATGATAAGTCAAGGCTGAGACCAAGTCAAGAAGATAAGTCAAGGCTTAGACCAAGTCAAGAAGATAATTCAAGGTTTAGATCAAGTCAAGAAGACAAGTCACCGACAAGAATGGCACATTACGACACGTCAAACATTAGTACAGGCTCTGACGATGAGCCAGAGGTTGGCGTGGGTCTGGATCAACTATCAAAGACCAGTTCGAGCTTCGATAAGCATTCAAATATCAGCGCAGTCAAAAACGAAAGAGACGTCGTTGGTGAAGACTATGCGGGCGTCTCAAAGGCGGAGCCAGGATTCGAGGGCAAACAAAATGTGCGAGCACTGAAAGAACGGGCTCACGTCACTGCAGCGCAACAAGACGTGCGACAGATGAGCGCCCCTTACGATGATCGTGATGCTAACAGGGATAAAGACGAAGTGAGACCCAGGTCTAGCGCGGTCAGTGGAGGCAGGTCTGAGACTGTTACTGGTGGCAAAGAAAAGATCGGCACGGGCACACGTGACAGAGTGGAGAGTGGTGAAGCGCACGAGGACGGGGGGCACTCACGCCAAACAGGCAAGGCGGAGATGAATGGGGGCTCTAAAGACGTGTCCGAGGTGAATGCAGTGAAGAGAGACAAGGCAAAGTCTGACGTCGTGAACAAACACGAGAAAATGGTTAGTCCGTATGAATTAGACCAGGATAACGTTAGTGGACGATATGAAGGAAAACATATCAGTGCTGTCCAAGGTGATATGGCTGAAGTTAGTGAATTCAAAGAAGACAAGTCAAGGTTAGGTGCTAAGAATGAAGACAAGTCACAGATAAAGGCTAATGAGGAAGACAAGTCACAGCTAAGTGCTAGGAAGGAAGAAAAGTCTCATATAAGGCCTAAGGAGGAAGAAAAGTCACAGATAAGGTCTAAGGAGGAAGATAAATCACAGCTAAGGCCTAGTGAGGAAGAAAAGTCACAGATAAGTGTCAAAAAGGAAGACAAGCTAATCATAGGTACTAAGGAGGAGGGGGTGTTAAAGAACCTTGCACTCAAAGAAGACATGCCTGGGATTAATGTTAGGGAATACGAAGCTGCAGACATTGAAAGTAAGTCAAAGATGGAGACTGATAGACAGCAGAGGCCTGTGATCCGAGATGAAGATGAATACAGACTGAAATCTAAAGCCGTTGAGGTAACCAAGAAAAATGCTGACAGTGAGTTTCAGTCAATGAAAGCAGACGGTGAGTCAATGAAAGCAGAGGGTCAGTCATTGAAAGCAGACGGTCAGTCAATGAAAGCAGAGGGTCAGTCGATGAAAGCAGACGGTCAGTCAATGAAAGCAGACGGTCAGTCAATGAAAGCAGAGAGTCAGTCAATGAAAGCAGACGGTCAGTCAATGAAAACAGAGGGTCAGTCAATGAAAGCAGAGGGTCAGTTATTGAAAGCAGAGGGTCAGTCGATGAAAGCAGAGGGTCAGTCAATGAAAGCAGACGGTCAGTCAATGAAAGCAGACGACCAGTCAATAAAAGGAAAGGGTCAGTCAATGAAAGCAGAGGGTCAGTCAATGAAAGTAGAGGGTCAGTCAACGAAAGAAGAGGGTCAGTCAAATCAAGCAGACGATCATTCAATGAAACCAGAGGGTCAGTCAACGAAAAAAGAGGGTCAGTCAATGAAAGCAGTACACGACGGTAAGCCGAAGACAAAGGCGGGGCGGGAAGACATCCCTGAGTTCACAGATAGTTTCAAGATCCCCGAACGGTATGATGATGATGTATCAAATATAAGTGAAGTAAACCACGGACCGTACGCTGTAAAAGTTGAGACTCCCCGTGATGAAAGAGCTAGCGAGGACGGTGTTGACTCCATGGAAAAGACGGCGGCTGGACATCGGGACGCTCTCCACGATGACATAAGGGAGGCTACATTTGTCCGTGAAGAGATTCGAAGAAAGACGCCCAGAGAAGAAAGAGAAGTTCAGAAATTTAAAAGATTATCGGTCAGTGGCCAGAGAATATCTGCTGTCAGCGGGAAGGGAGTACTTCCTCAAAATAAGGTTGTTGGTACACAGGGGAGTGTTCCTGGTGGAGAGAATGCAGATAGGCAGAGGGGTGTCTCTAGGGATGAAGAGGATGGGGCGCCGAGTGATGTAACATATGCCAAGAAGAAAGTGGTACAGAGAGGTGTCCTCCTTGGAAGGAGGGGAGGTGGATCGACCACCGGCCAGGGACAGGGTGGGCGGATGAGTGGCGCGTGGACCAAACGCGTCATGGATTTCCTCCAAAAGACAAAGGATGGAAGACAAAGCGATGCTATGATGAGCGAGAGACTGAGTCTTACAAGTCAGCAGAGAGCAGTCTCCCTCGGTGGGGAAACACATGCGGCAATTGAAGCTTTCAAGGCTAGACAAGGGAGCAGACGAAGTGATTTCAGCGAAAGCGAGAGGAAAGCGCAAAAGAACGGCTCTTTGGATGAAAAAGCAAATGAACAGAAAAGAAGATCCTATGGTGAGAAAACAAATGAACAGACGAGAAGGTCTTTTGATGAGAAAACACACGAACAAAGGGGAAGATCCTATGGCGAGAGAGCAATTGAAAAAAGAGAAGTGTCTCAAGGTTCAAGTGCCCATACAAGTAAATGATCTTTCATCTTTCGTTCAATCTTACCGTTTCCTTACCATTCTTGAAGACATTAGCGTTTTTAAGAAACAATATAATTGATTATTTAATTTTGATATTCTCACGGCATGAATTAATAGAATGTATTAATATATATATATATATAACGTACCTTGATCAGGTCGACATAAGGTAACAAAAAAACAAAATACCAGCTCGGCCAAGAGAGACTGTAGTCTGTATCTTTCTTAAAACTCTTAGATCTCACCTCTCAATTCAAACACTTTTTTTTTAGACTTACTTTCTACCATCATCTTACTTTAAAGTTGATTGACATTTTTTTTTTTTAATAAAAGAGTATGTTAAGAAAATTGACTTTAAATACTACGTTAGTTTGTACGATGACGAACTGTATAAAAAAAAATAACCAATATTCTTATTTCTGCCGACTCTTTCCTTCTCAGCCAGGGCAGGGGGAGATAAACCCAAGGATCGTGGGAAAGAAGGCGATGTCATGGCACGCGGCCTGTCCGGCGTCTCGCCCTCTGAGAGGAAAGAGAACGCCCAGAAAGGCGTGGCTGACGGTTATCCTGACAAGCGAAGTGTTTCCCGTGACGGAAGGGCCGATGTTCGAGCTGGTGTGCCACGTCGCGCGTGCTCCCGTGTACTCAGCACCCAGAGGGGCGCGTCCGGCACCAAGAGGGGCGTGTCCAGCACCCAAAAGGGTGCGTCGCGCGAGGACAAGATGATGACCAGGGTTGGATCTGAAGACACAGACTCCCCCCAAAAGAGCATCATGAGATCCGTACTGGGTCGAAAGACTCAGGCTCAGAGCAGGCTGCTGGTCGAGAGCCACTACTACCCCAGGACCAACCTGGTCAGCGTCGTGGTCAAGCCCATCAACATCGAAGTGAACAGGACACATATGAACGTGCAGGTAATGGAATACTGGAACTGTTGAATTTATTATACAGACCAACGCCATCGGCTTTCGTGGACGGAGCCACCGATTTTACTTTTAAAAGTGGCTGAGAAGATACGATGGACAGGTGGGGAGCAAGGTATGGATTAGGCAGGTGGGGGTTAGGCAGGTGTGGATTAGGCAGGTGGGGGTTAGGCAGGTGGGGGTTAGGCAGGTGTGGATTAGGCAGGTGGGGGTTAGGCAGGTGGGGGTTAGGCAGGTGGGGGTTAGGCAGGTGTGGGTTAGGCAGGTGGGGGTTAGGCAGGTGGGGGATAGGCAGGTGGGGGTTAGGCAGGTGGGGGTTAGGCAGGTGGGGGTTAGGCAGGTGGGGGTTAGGCAGGTGGGGGTTAGGCAGGTGGGGGTTAGGCAGGTGGGGGTTAGGCAGGTGGGGGTTAGGCAGGTGGGGGCTGAGAGAGGAAAGACAGAAAGCATGAAAGTTAAAGAAGTATAGACAGGGGAAGTAACGAACTGGAAATCGCGAGGTAACTAAAATAATAAATGAAAGATTTCATCGAAGCGCCGGTCGCATACGCTACTACCATAGAATAGATCAGTGCTTCTCAAACTGGTGGTATCCGGCCATCAATCGCTGACCCCATAAACTTGGACAACAATTAAAAAACGCGGGAGGTGAAAAAATGAGCACGCAAAGGCGCACCGTGTAGTGAGTGCTGCACTGGGTTTAGTTTTAACCTGCTCAGCCAACTGAAGCACGTTGCCTTATCAGGTGCATGCTAGTTGACCATCGTTGAAAAAAAATCTACTAACTGAAAGTTGGCCATGAACAGAAAAGTGTCGAGAAACAATGTTTAATATTGAATGAATTCTATTGCATCAAAACACAACTAGATTACATGTAACGAAGAAGCAGAGCTGTTTTCTATTAGATCAGTGGTTCTCAACCTTCCTAATGCCGTGACCCTTTAATACAGTTCCTCATGTTGTGGTGACCCCCCCCCCACACACACCCACCATAAAATTATGTTCATTTTTATTCATAAATATGCGTTTTCCGTGGTCTTAGGCGACCTCTGTGTAAGAGTCGTTCGATCCCCCACAGGGGTCGCAACCCACAGGTTGAGAACCGCTGCGTTGGATTATGTCTGGTAAAATTTATTATTTTTTAATATGTCAATCAAAAATAAATCCTATTGGTAATTCAAATGCACGTTGAAAAATTGAATTGGTGTTTGCATTTTGATAGGAAATGTATTTTAACATTTATAAGGTACACATCGATAGAAGACCACCACGATCAACTAGTAGAGAACCGCTGAGAAGTAAAATATCTTTCATTAGGAGGCCTGATGCCAAGACGATATCTGCTTTTCATTTGAACAAGTGAGTCTCGTACAAGCATGTTACCAAGATGTCTCGTCAATGGAACTCTGCAGCAACTTGCAATAACCCGCCCAAAACAACGGGCCCGGTTGGGGGGGTGGGGGGTGGGGGGGGATTAATCAATTCTAAAGAGGACTCTACTCAATGTTTCTTTTACCAGCGCCCTCATCTGATTTTGTAATATCTTGACACGGATTCTAAGGATATAAGGCGATGTATTACCCTTAAATAAATTACTGGTGTTGTTTGTTTTTTTTAATTGAATGCTTTAGTAGATTGACCTAACTGAAACCCATAGTTTTCAATGATTTATTGAGTAACTTATATTATTATGAAGTAAAAGTGGCGTACTTTAAAAAAAAAAATTACTATAAATTTAAACTTGACATGAATAGATTCGGCTCCGTGGAGAGACACATTTCCAACAACAACAAAAAACTGACCAACAATATCTTCTTTTTTCACAACTGGCAACACGTGGCGCCTGGATCTATGCACCGTTGACATACACGAGAACACGTTAGTTTTTGGGCCATGGTTATTTCAATCCCGGTTGTTAGGTTGAATAATAATGCTTGTATTTCAGAGATATCATCGACACAAGGGCGGCCAACCCACCCTTTAATACTGCGACTAGACCCGAAGCTGATCACAGATACCAGAGCGTCACTCGTTACTGGAAGATACGGTAAAATGAGGTTTAAGCGCCTTACTGTCCATGCTGCAGAGTGGATATCGTGCCTCGGGCCCCTTGATGCCCAATTTGCCCTGGACACTGGTTTAGGGGCCATTCATAAAATACGTACACAAAAAAGTCAAATTTTAGAACCCTTCCCCCCGTTGTACGAGTACTTTTTTTTTGACACCCCCCATGCGTATACGTACAAATAACTTTCGATTACCCCCCCCCCCCCCCGAATAAAATAACAACCAATTAAATCCAATAATCTTTTATACAAGTATGACGTCAAGGTAAACAAAGTGGGTCACGGGTTTTCACCGTGGTTGGCGACCCCAGTGGTTCCCAGAATATACGCCGCATCACCCTGGGTGCCCCATTGCACTCGGGCAGGGCCATGAGAATGGGGCTAAGAGCAATAGGCGTAACAATTCAAGGGGCGCCAAAATCGTCCTGAGATAGGACCTTAATAGAGAATTAAGCTTCAAAATCCTATATGCATCACTAAGACAAGGGGCTTTGAAATCGTCTTTGTGCTGGTCAGCCTGGTTGGGGGGGGGGGCACATATATTCTATATGGGTTGCTGCGGCTTTCTCACAGGGGCTTGACCACATATTACACAATGGACATAACTTTTATTTCTCCTTTGAATTTGAATCCAATGTGACATCTAGCGGTCGAGGTGCCAACAGTAACCCACTTGAGTAACTAATGTTTGACAGTTACTAAATGGCGCTTAGTGACCTACATACGTGTTATATTTATTTTTTACCCAAACCTTTAGTTTATTTAGTTCATGTATTCGCCATCTCGAAGTGTACTTGTTAGAATTGACCACAGGGCCCTTGAGAAAACCTAAATCTGGCACAGGCGCTGGGAATCTCAACCGTTTAGGAACCACTGGCGTAGCCAAACAAAATAAACGTCACATGCTGGTTGAACATACGGTGGACTGAATATCACTGTAACTACCTCTAAACTGAGTACGATCTGAGCGATATCTAGCGAGTTCATTTGTGGAAAAAACATTACGACGATAATTCCTACAAAACACTGCCTGATATTTTTTACGCCATTCCAGAGATAAATATGACACATCGAAACATTCACGTCTCTCGCTTATCTGTGCACCGAGTTTTGACGACAGGAATGATACGCGTATTGACAGCACCACTTTGCACCGCTTCTATACGCTGATAGACAGAATGTTTCAAAGATGTGAGAAGAGATCACACGCTGGGACACACGCGAAGTGTTTATTCGGAGGCTCTGAAGGCGAGCCCGTAAGAAACATCATACACAGTACATTTATGGTGGTCTTTTCAATACCTAAATATGTAAATGGTAGAGACATTATACAGATCATCCATTTTCTATCTAATTACTATCATACCTACTTGCTTCAGATCAACCCCTTTCTATCTACTTACTACGGATCAACATCTCTTCCTACTTACTCCAGATAAAGTTACCCTTGAGGCATGGGCACCGGTGGTCCTCAGCCGGCTTACCAGGTCACACCAGGGGATCTCCAGCTCGAGGCGGTGCCACTGGACATCGAAGATCCCGAGGTGAAGCTTAAGAAATAGGTTTTTAGTGGTTACAACCGGTTGTAATAATGACCAAGAGGCTGTGATATCATAACTAACTGTTAAAAGAGGGTTGGGGTTGTTGGATAAAAGTGCAAATATTTCAGTTGTTGAAATGAGATACATATTTATACCGTGTAAAAGAGATCACGTGACGAAGTTTTCCCATTGTGTGTGCTGCTCAAATATCTCTCTGCTCGTATTTTTTTGGTTGAAAATATTTTTGATAACTTTAAAATAAAATCGTCGTTAACTTGAAAACAGCTCTCATTAGTTATTTTGGAAACAGCTCTTACTAGTAGCTTGGGAGCAGCTCTTTTTAATTATTTGAAAGCAGCTCTTATTAATGACTTGGAAACAGCTCTTATAAGTTGTGGGTGACTGTTGCCCCGTTTAGCCGGGTAAAAAAAAAAAACGAAAACTTAAGAGTATAGCTCAAAGAAATCCTATATAATCTATGACCAATCATTCTGGCATTTGATGTCCACAGGCACTCGTCTACATCCTTTCTGCGCCTTTCGATGACTTCGAGGTGGAAGAGAATTCTGGAGATGACGAGAGAGTTGCCGAGCCGGAAGAGCCTTTGAGCCAAGAGGGGCCGATGGATGAGTGCTCGGAGTTCAACAGTAACAACAACGCCGAGAATCAGTCGATAGTAGGTGCTGATCAGTGTGATGTGGTCAATAGTGTTCTTGTCAGGGATCGGTATGCCGTTGAAGAGGCTGCTCGTGAAACTGTGTAAGAAATTCATTTTCGGATCTTGCCCGAATGACATCAGAGAATCCTTGTGCTTAATCAAGAAATTGCTTATTTGATATTAGGTGCACAATCGATCCTTGCTTAAAGGTGGTTTAAATATAGATCGTTATAAGCATTTCATGGAAATAAAGATGAAACAACAATATTAGGTATTTAAACAAACACTTTATGTAGCAGAAATAATACTTGGGACAAGAAGACACGTTCTATTTACAGGACATTAGATAAAATACAGGTATTATTGACAGGACATTAGATAAAACACATGTACTATTAACAGGACATTGGACAAAAACACATCTTACTATATGGGATTTGTCAAAAAGACACTCATGTCCCACAGGACTGTGGACAAAATGACATTGGATTTTCATAGTTATAAATGAACGTGACAAAACCTATTGCTACCATTTCTTCCAGTCCTCTAAATTGTATTTGATTTTTTTCATCTTTAGCTTGAGAATCACCCAAAGTCACGTAGTGGTGGGCCGGTGGACTTTACAAGGCATCATCACCAAATTACAAGGTGTAGCATCATCTCCGGTATCGTGTTCAAAAGATAACACTCGTCCAGTGTTTGATGTCGCTGCATAAACCTTAAAATTGAAAAAAAAAAACTGACATTGGCTGACACTCGTTTGTTGCATATTGACATTGGCTGACACTCGTTTGTTGCATACTGACATTGCCTGACACTCGTTTGTTGCTTACTGACATTGGCTGACACTCGTTTGTTGCATACTGACATTGGCTGACACTCGTTTGTTGCATACTGACATTGGCTGACACTCGTTTGTTGCATACTGACATTGGCTGACACTCGTTTGTTGCAGACTGACATTGGCTGACACTCGTTTGTTGCATATTGACATTGGCTGACACTCGTTTGTTGCATATTGACATTGGCTGACACTCGTTTGTTGCATACTGACATTGGCTGACACTCGTTTGTTGCATACTACTGACATTGGCTGACACTCGTTTGTTGCATATTGACATTGGCTGACACTCGTTTGTTGCATATTGACATTGGCTGACACTCGTTTGTTGCATACTGACATTGGCTGACACTCGTTTGTTGCATACTGACATTGGCTGACACTCTTTTGTTGCATATTGACATTGGCTGACACTCGTTTGTTGCAAACTGACATTGGCTGACACTTGTTTGTTGCATACTGACATTGGCTGACACTCGTTTGTTGCATACTGACATTGGCTGACACTCGTTTGTTGCATACTGACATTGGCTGACACTCGTTTGTTGCATACTGACATTGGTTGACACTCGTTTGTTGCATATTGACATTGGCTGACACTCGTTTGTTGCATACTGACATTGGCTGACACTCGTTTGTTGCATATTGACATTGGCTGACACTCGTTTGTTGCATACTGACATTGGCTGACACTCGTTTGTTGCATACTGACATTGGCTGACACTCGTTTGTTGCATACTGACATTGGCTGACACTCGTTTGTTGCATACTGACATTGGCTGACACTCGTTTGTTGCAAACTGACATTGGCTGACACTCGTTTGTTGCAAACTGACATTGGCTGACACTCGTTTGTTGCATACTGACATTGGCTGACACTCGTTTGTTGCATACTGACATTGGCTGACACTCGTTTGTTGCATACTGGGTAGAACTCCTACATTCTCACTCAGGGTCATATAAAGCAACATCTTTTTAACCATGGAAATATGTTTGTGAAACGTGTTTAGACTGATTCAAACCGGATAATTTTTACCTTTATTTTAAGTTGCCTTTATTTACTTTTATGTTCTATCTTGCACTATGTGTTAGCGAGCAGACGATGCAACATCACCTTTAAACTATTTTTTTTTCTTCAATAGAAACGTTCAGCCGCCATTTCCAAGCAGAGTCATGAACTCAAGCAGCAATAACATCAACATGGCGTACAGCACAGATGAGGAGGAAGATTCGAGACAAAGCAATGAACACCACCACGTGACCAACGAATCCTCCAATCACAGCATCACTCAAGATGGCCGCCGATTGGATATAGGACCATCCATAGAAGATCTGAAACTTCTAAAAATATCGAGCGTCATAAATTGTAACAGAAATCAAAGCATGGGGGGAAATCTGAGTGGGGAGAAGGAGCGGTCGAAGAGAGGCGGTCGCCACGGTCGGAGGACGATGGAGAGCTCTCAAAGAAAGAGAAGGAGAAGCGCCGACAACGGGACGTCGGGTAAGAGACGCGAGGTTGTGAAAAAGAGCAGACCCGGCTCTTGCAGGTCGGAGAGCTCGGCACAGGTCCCCGTAGACCGAGGAGAAACCGAGGTCAGCACGTACAACGCGGTGTGCGGCGGCGCCGTGGGCAAGGACGTGCATCGGGTGTCCGTTCATGAAGACTGCATTGTTGAAAACGTTCCACAAAACGGGCCCCTCCACCAACAGGCTCGAGGCATCGCTGGCCACTCCACGACCAAACAGGAGACTAAGTGCGATGTGTTTAAAATTACTCACCGCGAACAAAGGTATTTCATGGCACATTATTTAACTATATCGCGCTCTTTGTGGTTTTGATGGGGGGGGGGGGGTTGTTTTTGTGGGGGGCGGGGGGCTGCATAAACTTAGGTTTAATTAAATACAGAAGCGATAACTTAAAGACCCAAGTGACTAAAAATGTTTCAAGAAAATCTACATTTTATGCATAGATACAAACTAGATGTTGTGGGTTCGGTGGCTGGTTACGTTTAAGCTTGTACATTTATTGGGATCAATAGGGTTCCTTTTAATAAAGATATTTTTAACACTTTGAAATAGATATCCGACCAAAGCCCCCGTCAGAAGCCTAAAAACTAAATTTTAAAAAAAATTATTGGGATTTTTATTTTATTTTATTTTATTTTAACCACAATTTTGAGATCAAAGTTCATTTAACTAGGTGCTATGGAACCTGATCTTGATGTTTGTAAACTAACTTTAAAACTGTAATGCCACCAACCACTTACACACGCGGCTACAAACTTACAAATTGTTGTTTGTGTTTTGTTTTTGTTTTATGCTTTAAACAATCACTGTCTAACAACTTTAAAATCCTGACGCTAGTAGCACGAACCATAGCATAGATCCATCCCATGGCAGCTTATCTTAATCCACAAAATACACTCCTTGCTGCAGAGGCGTGGCGAAAGGGTGGGGGGGTAGGGGGGACAGATGTACCCAGGCGCGGGCTAGTTAGGGTCGCCGAATTGTGCTTTGATGTTATGGTTTTGATGAAAAAAAAATGGGTTTGAGAGTTGAAAAAAAAAAGAAAAAGGGGCGCTTTAAAATGTACCTTGTCCCCGGGCGCCAAACACTCTCGCTACGCCTCTGGCTTGCTGACATGAAAGCAATTTATGTCACCCACATGGCTCAAGTTGAGAACCTCTTTTCTAGAGCAGGGTTTCCTATCTTTTCTATATTTTGCAACCCCCCCCCCCCCCTTCCCCAAATGCATTTCTATCTCTAGGCCAAACAGGTGGACATTTATTTTTATTTTTTTTTATTATACAAAGAGAATTGTTGCACTGTGAAAATCAGAAATTTTAAAATAAAAAACTTTTTTGTCATTACTTGTCATGGAAAAGAAAAGCATTAGTTAGGTCTGAGTGGAAGGAAGTAGTGAGGCAGGCCAAAGCCTTACATGGGCTGTAACGCCACAGGGATGGATGACGTGTGATGGATCACGTTTCTTTGCTTCCCCCCCCCCTCCTTTTCCACCCACCCGAAATGCCTTCCTAGCTTGTTAAACCCCTTCTAGAGTCTATTCAGAAAGTGACTGTGGTTAGGGATTTCTAAAAGGGGCCGATGATGCTAAACACTCTTTANTGGGCTGTAACGCCACAGGGATGGATGACGTGTGATGGATCACGTTTCTTTGCTTCCCCCCCCCCCTCCTTTTCCACCCACCCGAAATGCCTTCCTAGATTGTTAAACCCCTTCTAGAGTCTATTCAGAAAGTGACTGTGGTTAGGGATTTCTAAAAGGGGCCGATGATGCTAAACACTCTTTAACCCTAATCTCATGGTCAAATCTTCACACAAATCCCCCTTTACCAACAAAAACTAGTCATTGGAGGAAAACTAATAATTCCCAAATGAATTGTTAATTAAAATTACATACACTCATTTAGATAACTTCATTGAAGTAATTTATAATGTCAGGTTTTGGCTACCACCAACTATATGTGGCAGTGTATGCCCCAACCCACTATTTGACCCGTTACGTAACGGGTCAAATAGTGGGTTGGGGCATACACTGCCACATCCACCCCAAACGTTTGAATTCCAGCGCCCTCGCTGGCTCGATTATAAAAGAAATCAGCAAGTACAAGCAAAAACAGAAATGTGTGAAAAATATTGTACGGTACATAGAAATATATACATATATAAAAAAAAATGCAACGTAAGTGCTCAATACAATAAAAGCACATTGGGGTAATTCAATCCCTGAGTATGACAAGTATTTCCTTGTCACGACATTGTACTTTCTATAATGACATTACTTATGAGGTTACAAGCGCTCGCACCAGGTCGACCCAAGACTTGTAGCATGGCAGTACGTCTACCAAAAGCACTACGATGTACAATCGCTAATTGTATACTGGTATATACGCCTAAGTTTATGTGAAACTTGAGGCAGTT